AGTACAAACTTAGTGCTGATTATAAGTACATAGTACATGCAGAAACCTTTATTGGCATTACAGGGTACAGGGAGTACACAAGATAGTTACATTCCAATACCGGGTGGGGGGAAGGGTGAGGTTGGGATTATAATAAGCTAGGTTCAGAGATATGAGACTTGGCAGGTTTGTTAGCTGGGGGGGTAAGGAGAGGTGTAATTTTCCTGTGAAAGGGGAGGAAGGGAGGTCAAACTCACTGCTCGGCGTTATAGGTGTCTGATTATAAGTATTACTGGACACTGGAGAACACTCTAGTTGGGGGTGTAAGGAAAAGTGATGGTCACATGCAGAAGAGCACATTTGATTTCATAATAAGAACTTAGTAAATTACATGGAGTGAGCTTTTAAAATGGCTCCATCCACTCTGCCTATAGCCCCACCTCACATCTGGAATGTGACTGTTGAGAAAATGTCAATTTTTTAATTTAGCTGTAAGGCCAACTTTCCCCCTCCTGGAATAAATCCACTCATTTCCTTTGATTCTAACTATGACTAAGTCTGTTTCTAGCATGCTGTTTTGAAGTCTTAAGCCTATGACATTTCTGATTTGAGTGTATTCAAACCAAAGATGTTTATCGTCTATTCAATTCTCTTTAATAATATTGTATGTTTAAAATAAATTGCTATTAACCAGATTTCTTTATGTCTGCCATTAATCTTCCATTCTATATATTTCACAATATCTTTAAAAAGCTTTGTCTCATCTTTTCAGGACATGGAAAGTGTCACAGGTGCTCCCGTCAGGAGGCCATCTCATCTTTCCCCAGAACCTACTGAGTTCCCTACTGTGAGCTCTTCAATAGACCTCAGAGAGACGTCATGAACTGATGATTCCCCAAGAGAACCTGAACATAAAGAAGAACCCACCCACTAGGAGGAGTGAACCTGGACAAGACCTTGGAAGGTATGGGTCAGGCTGAACCCCTTCAGAAAAGACCATTGGGTGATGGGAAGTATAAAGGAGTGATGGGAGGATGACACAAGAGAGGAAGGTAAGATGGAAGACCAGTGGAAGGTCGACGAAGCAGTGCAGACTGGAGACTTGCTTCATGGAAGAAGAGGAAGGAGAAGAAGAGGGCTCTTGGGGGAGCAGACTCTATAGAAGAGGAGGAGGACTAGCATCTGCATGTGTAGCTCCCTGAAGACCTGGAGCCACCTGGCGACTGAGAATACATGTCTAAAGAAGGTCCTTGGACTGGGGTGTTGGTTTTTAAATCTTATGAATGCCAAATGGAATATGAAGCATTCATTGTTGTGTTGTTATGCCCCAGAAGTGAACAGTGGTTCCTTGCTTCACTCTGAAATTGATCTAGAATTGCCACAATTCAGTCCATTTTTGCACATTTGCCTGAAGACAATGTATGTGGCCTCATAAAAACTAATATTAACTAAAGCAGTGGTTCTTAACCTTTGTTACTCGGATGTTTTTGAACTGCAACTCCCAGAAACCCCAGCCAGCACAGTTGGTGGTGAAGGCTCCTGGGAGTTGCAGTCCAAAACTCCTGAGTAACCCAAGGTTAAGAACCAGTGAACTAAAGAATCTTAGTTGAGAAGCCAGAAAAAAACACATTTAAAACCTCAGGCATAGTTTTAGGGGACAATTTTTAAAAATCGGTTAGGCAAAAACAGATTTCCTCAGAAATCTGAATAAATGTTGCTGCTTCTAAAATATTAAAATGGTTCTAGTTCAATTCTGCGGTTAAAAAACACATAGCAAGAAAATGTCCCTCCTAGTCCATTTTTGCACATTTGCCTGAAGACAATGTATGTGGCCTCATAAAAACTAATATTAACTAAAGCAGTGGTTCTTAACCTTTGTTACTCGGATGTTTTTGAACTGCAACTCCCAGAAACCCCAGCCAGCACAGTTGGTGGTGAAGGCTTCTGGGAGTTGCAGTCCAAAACTCCGTGTGGCCTCATAAAACTAATATTAACTAAAGAATCTTAGTTGAGAAGCCAGAAAAACACATTTAAAACCTCAGGAATAGTTTTAGGGAAAATTTTTAAAAATCGATTAGGCAAAAACAGATTTCCTCAGAAATCTGAATAAATGTCGCTGCTTCTAAAATATTAAAATATTTCTAGTTCAATTCTGCAGTTAAAAAACACATAGCAAGAAGATGTCCCTCCTAATATCCCTGCAGTGTTTAAAGAGAATCCTTGCTGACCTACTGTGTACAAGCCAAGCTAGAGATGATTCATTTCTCTGGAAAGGATGTAATATTGCTTGGATAACGTAAGCCACAGTCAGACATTCAATAAAACTATGGCTTCTAACCTGTGACCAAGGGAATAGGCCAGCCCTGTCTTCCTCCATCCTACCTCCTGTGAGGAGAAAACTAATCTGAAAAGGAGAGCAGTTTTCACACATAATTGTTGGACAATCTGGATTCCTGATTTTTTAGGTTTTCTGATTATGCAGAGAACTCCGATGGGTAGAAACAGGTCTTGTCTTCAGATTTAGCAAAACAAAACAAAAAAATAAATCAGCACGCAAAAGTAAATTCAGAGTGACACAAGGCTAGCCTTTTCCTCTTGCTCATAGGTTAAGATTAACTCTTTTACAGAATGCCTGGACCAACTTGTTATCCTGCTTGATTGTGAAAGGGCAATCACAGAAGGATTATGACATGTTTCTCGAGCTGCCCACTGTGTGCCCAGTCTCCCCCTGACCATGCAATTGATCACATGCCGAGTTGCATGGTTGGGTGCACAGTGGGCAGCCTGGAAGATGGAAAAATGGCCATTTAGATAAACAGAAAAATAGAATAGGCTTTAGGACCTAAAAAGGGCTAGTTCTTGCTCCCATTGTTCCTTCACATCATTAAAACAACTTCTCTGATGTTTCTCCATGCAACAAAGCAGAAACTCTTACGCATTTTCTACAATTTTTTTTTGGTTGAATTAAAATATTATTTTATCAACATCTGCAATCCATGTCGTGGGGGCACAGAAAGACAAAGGAAGCCTGGCCCAAGGAACTCCCTTCCCCCTTTCGACAAAATGTAGCTTTGTGCAATTTTGCTTAATTTGCACATGAACCCTTCTTGAGTGCACCAGAAAAACCTCACCCTCTTGCAAGGAGAATAAGTATGCTGTTCCTTGTGCTCTTTTGTGTAAATAAGAGAAGTGCTCAACTCCATAAACTCAAATGTCAGTGGAGACACTGTTCTGTAGAAAGAATTGGGTTCCTCTCCTGAAGGATCATGAACAGAGATGGGAACAAAGAGCGTAAAAAGGCAATTCACCTTGGTTTATGGGTTGTCAACCTTGATGATGCACTAACCATGAATTTTCCCCAGTAAATCAACAAATCATGAATCACTTTGTTGGTTATCGGTTCTTTTTTTTAAAAAAAGCTGAGCACACCGCCCCCCACAGTTTGCCCCCCCTTCCACGGCCACTTACCTTGTCCTGCTGCCCTCTCCTGCGCTGCTGCCACCACCACCACCACTGAAACAGAAGTTAGGCTTCCAGAAAAGCAGTTTCTGTTCCAGCATCCTCGCTTCCATTCCATTGCAAACAGCAGTGAGGAGGGCAAGCCTGACAGAATCGATCCTCTCTCCCCAGCTGTTTGCAAAGACAGAGGGGCAGGGAATTCCTTGGATCAGGCTTCCTCTCTCTTTCTATGCCCTTTGCAAAGACAGTGTCTGGGGATGGGGGGTGGAATCCCTGAGGTCAGTCTTCACCTGTCTATGCCATGGGAGGGCACAGAAAGATAGGGGGAAGCCTGACTGAAGTGATCCCTCCCCCCGCTGTCTTTGTAAACAAGAGGACAGGATTCCCTTTGGGAAGGCTTAAATAAGCCGCCTAAAGGGTAGATCCCTTTCTGACTTTACCCCCGAGGAACAGCTGATCTCCCGGGGCATGAGCAGAGAGGGAAAGATGAAGGGACAAACATAAAAGGGTTATATTCATGGCTTTCTATTTGTCAGGGTCTCACAAATATGAAGTGATGAATATCTGACCAAACAGCGATAGTTGTTGAATATCGCGATTCATTTTTATATTCATCCCCATGTCTAATCACAAACAGGTGGGAGCATAAACAGTAGATGAAGTGACAATCCAGTGGTGTCACAGCTAGACTGGTCCAGAGGAACAACTATGGAACACCCTGAACAGCCACCTACAGCTCTCAACTAAGACCGTGTGAAGACAGAGTAGTCCAGCTATGTTTTTGGAAATCCTTATTTGAGCTACACTTCAAGGACGCTAGGCACCGCAGAAGACAAATCTGATAATTATTCAACCACACCAGGGCAACTGGGGTTGTTTTTCTTTTTTCTTCTTCTGTTTTTAAGCAGCTTAACAAAACAACCACTTCTGTTGATATGTACTGATGTGGTAAATGTCCGTCTCTACACACATTCAAATCTATGAGGGCTATAAGCTCATACATGACAAATAGATTTCCCTCCCCTTCTCCTCTCCCAGCAGAATGAATTCATCATCTCAGCATAACTTTTGCTCAAGCTTTTCCACTCTGTCACAGTCTTCCTCCCCCCTTGCCACAATTCTCAGCCTCAAAGAACGATCAGCATTCACAGGTGCCTTACTGACATCAAAGATTTCCAATTCAATGCCTTGTACCTGTACATCCTTTCCACCTGCACCAATTGCTACATCTGTGTATCTGTCAGGAAAGCTGATACAAGTAGCCAAGACTGGCACAATCAACATATCATTTGATTCACATCACTAGCCAATGAGTATATAGGAAAGGAGGAGCTTTGCTGTTGAAGGGACTCTTCACGAAGAAACATTTACAACAGCAAAGGCAGACACGCACAGTTCTCTCAGTGCCTGGATGCTTTCAAGTCTGCAAGGACACCCGGTTCATTCTCACCCACCTTTCTCTTTCTTTCTCTTTCTTATTTTGACTTGGAAAAGTGTATCTTGGACGATCTGAAAACAGTCATCAGACCTAGGAATTGCATTGTTCTTCAGCAATGCCTACAATGGATTGGCTCAACATCTCTCGATGTCTTCATCAAACAGAAGAGGATGTGGGGCCACTACGGAGATACCTAAACAGTACAGAGGACTACCTCGCCTTCTTATATGGGCCCAGGCGAAGCCACTTGTTCTTGCCTATGGCTTGGGTTTATGCACTGATTTTCATTGTTGGAGTATCTGGCAACCTTTTAGTCTGCCTGGTGATTCTCAAGCACAGGAACATGAAAAGTCCCACAAACTACTATCTCTTCAGCCTGGCTGTTTCAGACTTGCTGGTCTTGCTCTTTGGCATGCCCTTGGAAGTCTATGAAATGTGGAGCAACTACCCTTTCTTGTTTGGACTAGTGGGGTGCTATTTTAAGACTGCGCTGTTCGAGACAGTGTGCTTTGCCTCCATCCTGAATGTCACCACAGTGAGCATTGAGAGGTATGTGGCCATCCTTCACCCCTTTCGAGCCAAGCTGAAGGGTACAAGACGGCGTGCCCTGAGGATCATCATTGCCCTCTGGCTTCTCTCCGTCCTGTTTTCTATTCCCAATACCAGCATCCATGGCATTGTGCTTCAATATTTCCCAAATCACACAGAGGTCCCAGGATCTGAGACATGTGGTGTGGTCCAGCCCATGTGGATCTACAACTGCATCATCCAGCTAACTTCTTTTCTCTTCTATATGCTGCCAATGTGTGTCATCAGTGTGCTGTACTGCCTAATGGGACTGAAAGTGAGTCCAGATTAAGCTCTGTTCTGCTTGTATATTGTTTTTGTTTTAAATAATCCATCTCACTCAATGCCATCTTTTTTTTCTTTTTTCTTTTTTCCAGCTCTTTGGGCTTATCATGATCCTTTTGCCAATACATAAAAGAAGTAAATATTTCGTATGCTACCATGGTGCAAGTTATGCTCCAAATGTGTCCCTGTAATGTTTATTGTTACTGATTTTATTGAGTCTATTACTTAACCACCCTCACAAAATGACAGTTCTCCCAAAGTGGCTGAAATCTGTTTCCAAATAATTATAGAAACCAAGCTGCTGGACTTATTTATGCTGTGGCAATGTTTTCATTTTTCAATTCTAAATCTTGCTCTAGCACCTTGACCAAATCCTGTTTCAGTTCCTCATCTACCTGAAAATTTAAATGATCCACAAGCAGGATTTCTAGTGTTTTATTTTTAAACATCAACGTTTAAGCAATACACTTTCAGTTATATATGTATTTGAGCAAATTTAGTGTGGTTGCATTTTTCCCTCACAACCTATCCTAAATCAACTTCACTGAGCTCACAGGGAACTCCTTCCTATTAAAAATAGGCTTGTTAGGTGAGGCTAAGCATCATTCTTCCAGATGCTGGTGAACTACTATTTCTATTATATCTATCTATTTCTATTAATTGGTTTAGTCTGATAGGACTTTGATTTGAACATCTAGAAAGCAACAGGTTCTCTGTGCCTATAATTAGGTCCATGGGGTCACAAAGAGTCAGACAAGACTTAAACGACTAAACAAGAAGAACCAAAAATGAGGAAAACTGTTGTTGCCTGAAGTCATGCATAGACCTTTAATTGAGTAGAAAAATAGAAAATGTTCACACAAACACAAACATTTTATCCAGAACTGTAAAAAATAACTCCATGTGTACACTTTTTAAAGGAAGTATTTAAAAAACAAATATAAAAATTCTGTTATCTGATATTAAAAACTAGTTGGGTATCTCAGTGGTTTACATATCTGGCTGTGAAGACTGAGGTTGGAAGTTTACTTCCCTACTGTGCTTCCTGTGAGTAGATCTTGACCAAGCTACACAGTCCCAGGGCGCCCCCAGAATAAGGGAACTACCACTGTACTGAGTATTCTTGGCCTGGAAAACTCTGAAAAGGGTCACTGTAGGTCAGAATTTACTTGACAGAACATGAAGATGATGATGTGGAAAAAGTGTATTTGCATAGTAAAGAAATTAAGGTCATTGAACTTTGAATACCTGATTGTTTGTGGTTTGATTATTGTTGCATCATTCCTTCGTTCTTTCCTTCGGGTAGCAAATGTGATTTAAAGGGCATTAAAAGAAACAATGTACTTAAACCTAAGTATAAGGCTGACATATTTTTTCATGTAATGAAAAAAAAGTATTTGCACATTTATCAGATAATGGTTGATTTAAAATAAGTCACTTCTTTAATTAGAGAGAAACACACTAGATCAAACTTGTGGACTGTCCCAAGACATAAAAACAGACTGGAGCACCCCCATCTCTTTCACACACACACTACCACTTTCAGTGCCACACATTACCCCGCTACCCCGGAATAAAGACGTGAGAAAATTAATAGACATGGGCCACACTTCATTGAATATTCATTATTGCCTTCAATAAAAAAAGGGGAAGTCCTGCCGTAGTGCGGAATCAGGTTCTGCAGAGGAGTCTCAACAGACCCATTACCAAACAGTTGTGAAGTCAGCGAGAACCGGGCCAACCCAAATTTGACCACTCCCAGACTTCCAGCCCCCTATTCATTGTTGACTGTTGGTCCGGGAGCAGTGGATCTCTCCCCCCCAAGAACTGTAATCTCATGGTCCGCAGAGCTGGGAGGTGCACGCGCGCACGAGTGGCGCCTTGTTGCGCCATTGAGCTCCGTCGCGTTTTTGCTCCCCCGGCCCTGGGAGAGTTCATTGTTGACTGTTGGTCCGGGAGCAGTGGATCTCTCCCCCCCAAGAACTGTAATCTCATGGTCCGCAGCGCTGGGAGGTGCACATGCGCACGAGTGGCGCCTTGTTGCACCATTGAGCTCCGCCGCGTTTTTGCTCCCCCGGCCCTGGGAGAGGCAAGTACCTGGGCCACGTGATGCTTTTGGCGTGGACTGGGGCTATATAAGAGAGCGCCAGTCTGCAAATTATTCCTCTTTTGCTTTTGGCATCCACCCGCCCACCCTCTTTCTAGTGTGCTTTTTGGGTCGCCTGTTGTGGGGCCGGATAGGAATTTTTGACAGCTATCCTGATTGGCTTTTGGATGGGGGGATTTTTCGCCTATCCCACACTGGAATAGGGTTTTGTTGGCACTGGATGGTGGCTTTTTATAATTGGTCACACTGGCGGGTAGTGCGGGAATAACTGGTTGTCACGGTGTCTCCCTTTTGTAATTATCATAAAACAAACAGCGCGCCAGTCCTGACGGCTCTGCGGATCATGCGATTACAGGGCCGAAGGCGACTGATGCGCTTGACCACTTACAGACCAAAGGTCATCAAATACGATGGCTAGAGGTCCGGGGTGTTTAATTGAGGCCTTACAGGTTCCTACGGTCATTGGACACCTGGAACCTGGGGCCTGGGATTCACCCATTGGCTGATAAGGAATTATTTGGCATTATTTCCCGCACTACTGCAGGCCCCCTCAATTTTGGAATTGGTTTACTTGGTTGAATTAAATTGGTTTAATAAAGTGTGGCCCATATTTAAATCCAAAGATTGTTGTCTTGCGTCTTCACTTCAGGGCTTGGGGGAGCAAATCAGATGAGCTATACGTTACCTGTGGTTGCGAGGGGACTCACTGAACTGTTCTATCTGCACTACCCACCTGTGTGACCAAATATGACCACCTTTAAAAATGCCATCTCACCTTAACCAGTGTGGGCTAGGCAAAAATCCCCGTGACCAATGGCCAATCAGAACGCAGGTCAAAAATTCCTATGCAGCCCCAAAAGGCGACCAGGAAAAACTCACATTAGTACATAGGGCAGACCACACTTTATTGAATATTCATTATTGCCCTCAATTAAAAGGGGGGTCCTGCTGTAGTGGGGAATTGGGTTCTGCAGAAGGGTCCCTTACCAAACAAATGGGTGAGTCCCAAGCCTCAAATTCTCATGGTTGTGAAGACAGTGAGAACACAGCCAGCCCAAATTTGACCAGTCCCAGACCTCCAGCCTCCTACTCATTGTTGACTGTTGGTCTGGGAGCAGCCCCAGCAGATCTTTTCCCCACCCCTCAAGTACTGTAATCACACTATCCACAGTGCTGGGAGATCAAATGAGCTATACATTACCTGTGGTTGCGAGGGGACTCACTGAAACCTATTCAATCAGCACTACCTGCCACAGAATAGGGACTAGCTACGCTAAGCCCCATGCCTGCCATTCAAGCTTTCAAGCTCCAAAATCAGCCCCCCCCAAGGTCTGCCAGAAATATCTCCAATCCTTTATCGGACAGGTGCACTTCATTGTGCCGAAAAAGCTCAGGCCTATTGACACGGATCTCCTGGTGACCAATAATCACCGATCCAAGGCCATTGCATACCACTCTACATACTTCCCAGTTAACACTTCTCCACGCAGTGTTAACCCACTGCACCTGGCATTCATCCCACCACACTAGCCGAGGGATGATCGTGGACCAAATAATACTCAGAGCAGGGTACGTCATCCTCAGCCATTTGAGGTCATGTATGTCATCCAACATCAAGGCCTTGCCACCATGCCTGGCCAGATGGTTACAATGCAAATATATGAGTAACACATCTGGCGGTTGCATGACAAATACAGCTGCTCTGCAAAACTGGCTCCATTGGATTCCACAGATCCCTTTCCAGAGGATTTGGGCTCTAGCTCAGAGACCCAAATTGCTCCCCCCCCACAGACTTATCCACATATCTTGCTGCCCAGAACATGTAACTGTGGCCGAGTATCATGACATGCCACCATCTCCCCAACAATACTGGACCTGCAAAGACAAAAAGACCAGGTGCCTGCCTAGATGTGAGGGAGTGCTCGGACATATCTGCAGTAAACTGTCAATGCCCAACGACCTAATCATTTAATGTCATTGGGATGATAGCCTAAAGCAGATGCAGTTGAAGCTGCCCCAATTCTAAAAGAATGAGTGCCAAACTTCAAACCTTGAATCCCCACCTTCCATAATGCCAAATTTGTCAATTTCTAAAAACTGATCCTTGTTAAAGGGGACCCATCTTTGTGTACGAAAAAATAATCCTGACCCTGTCCCCTAAATTCTAAATATGCAGTTATCGCTATCACTCGACCATACTCTGCTATAGAGCAAATAGCCAAATTAAGATCAGCACCTCTACCACACTGGTTGGCCTTGGATGAGCAAATATGAATCCGAACGATGTCATCTTCCAACCTCACATTGTGCCTTTGCAATGCTGCTTTTGTCAAATTGCCTTTCCCTGTAGCTACCACCTCATTAATCCTCAAAGCACTGAAAAATGTCAATAATGACACAGCCCTAAGTAACGCAGTCTCATATTCATCCCTACAAATGATAAGCCATTGCTGTTCAATTTTTTTTCTAACAATGCTAAGGAATCTTTAATCCGACCCCTTTCTTTATTCCAGCTTCAATCATCTTTCTGATGTGAAAGTCAGAGGCATAATCCTGATACCCTTGTACTCTAGCCTGAAAGGTTAGCGCTGACATTCTACCCTGGATGAATCCTGGTGCCAGTCCTTTCCTATTTAAATACACTATGAATTGTTGTAGATGTTCCACCAGAGCAGGCCAAATCAGTTCCAAGCCCACTAGTTTTCTGAACTCCTGAAATTCTATACTCACTGCCGAATACCCTTTCCTCGGGGCCAGGGCCAAACCTATTGCTATTTCCGTGTCATCATGCCAATTTGCCAGACCTCTGTGGGCAGTGTCTCTGGAAATTTGGTGGCTCCTGGATCTAGCTCCCTGAACCAAGTGATCTATTGGCATGATAGGGC